TGTTCTTAATCTGAAGACCACTTTAGCTAATGGGGCCTCCTGCTGCCGCCGCGCCGCCGGAGCACGATTTCTGTTCTCATCCTGAAGCAAAGTTCTTAACCCGAGGTACTATTTTTGGGTTAGCGGAGTCTGTAACCTGAAGCGTATGTAACCTGAGGTACCACTGTATCCTGCAATAAAAGAGGGTGGGTGGAGGTTAAAGAACCCCCCCCCTTCCCGACAAAACCCACCCAATCCTCGCCAGCTCCGCTTCCAGAGAGAGAGATAGAGAGAAAGAGAGACAGACGCGCCCCAACTTTGAGCAGCGCGCGCGCTCTGCGCATGACGGACACCGGGCCAACCAGCCAATCGCAACTCAAAGCTCCCCCCCCGTCAAAACACAAAACGAAAAGATGCGCGCGAGCGAGCGAGCGACGAGAGAAGGAGTGGGCGGGGCTTCTCCTTCAACGGCTGCCCGGTTGCTAAGGGAAGGCGGAAGTAGTAAAGCGAGCGGCGATTGGTGGAAGCGGGAGGCCTTGGCCAATCGCCGCGCGGCTTGTTCCGGCGTGGTTGCGAGAGGGGAAGCGTCTCTGCTGCCCGGGCGGAATCGCTTCTTTCTCCCCGCTTCCAGGCGGCGGCGGCAGCGGCGGCGAAGACTCTCCCTCGCCGTCCTTTTCTGCGTACGCTGCTCAACCCTCTTCCGCATACATGGCGCTTCGCTTCAGGAGCGGCCGGAGGGGCCAATTCGTGAGTATCAGGGCCGGGGTCTGGTGCTGGTTCGGTGAAGGGTAGTCCCCCCCCGCGCCTCCCCCCCCGTGTCTGGTCAGGGGCGCCGGTTGCCATGGCGACCGAGAAGCTCTTCCTCTGCCACTCTCGTCCCACTGGAAAACTTGTCCGAAGGGGAGAGATGAGGAAAGCCTTGCATACTTAGCAATGTCCCTGTTCTGTGTCTTCAGGACACGCCAGTAACCTAAGAATAAGTCTAGAAACAAGACATTTTGCTCTAGAAAGGGAAGTTCTCATGCGAATAGTGTAATTTTTTTAAGGCATGAAGTTTCTATACGTAGAGTCATGCACCTCGTCCGCCTTTGCCTACTGTGACTTGTGGTGGTGCTTCAGGGACTAGGGCAAAGTTATTTCCCAGTCTTTGCTGCTTCAGGATCTGCTTTAACTGGAGAGGCCCCGGGGGACTTCCTGTATGCAGAGCGATACTGCAAGTTGGATGGCTCCTTTCCCACACTGGGTGGACATCCGTATTAAGCTATTACTGTTGTTGCAGCATTTCCAGGACAGTCATCCTGTTTAATCTTCTTCATCCAAGATCAAAATACAACTGAACATTTTGGGTGTTAACTTTACCATGCCTGAAGAGCCATGCATTTAATATAAATATGCTTCCTATGAACAGTGACCAGAAAAAAATAATGTTTTTATTTAAAAAATGTTGTTACAAGATCATAATATTTATTCATTCCTAGGGTTTAGGCCAGGGGGATTCCCCCAGATCTATAACAATAAGCAATCCAACATAAGAAACTAGCAACACAGGTTTCAAAGTACACACCACTGATAATTGCTTTGTGGCAATAATTGCAACTTTTTGAATATTTGACCAGTATTGCATCTGTTGCCAGGAATTGTGGGTTTATTTCTGTTGCATGTTAGCTGCAGGAAGCAGAATGGGCAAGACCAGTATGGTAATTGTCCTGTTGTGTCACCACTGTAGTCCATGTTCTGATATCTTCCAGACTGCCTTAATACAATGTGCTCTACATGGGGCTGCCCTTGAAAACAACTCAGAAACTTAAACTGTTCCAAAATGGAGTGGCCAAATTACTGGATGGAGTCCTGTTTAGAACTCGTATAACTTCTGTTTTAAAACAGCTGCACTGGTTGCTAGCTTGTTTCCAGCCCAGTTTAAGGTTCTCATGCGAGTGTTTAAAAGCCCTAAACAACATAGCCCCCAAATATCTAAAAGACCACTAAGGTGCAGACCCTCTCAGGTGTTAAGAGGGGCTGATCTTGGTAGTTCCATCACACTCAGAGGTTCAAGGTTGTGTGTAACTGAGGAGAGCACATTATCAGTGGCAGCTCATAAGCTGTCAAATTTTCTCCCACAGAGGTATGTCTGGCACGTTCATGGCACAACTTTCATGGTATACTAAAGACACAACACTTTACCCAGATATTTGACTTTTGAGATATAGCATTCTAAGACACAACCTAGTAGTGACTGCAATTTGTTTTAAGTTGCTTTTAATACTGTATTTTATATTGCTTCTGGTGAAGGGTGGGTAATAAATATAATACAGTAGCAATAACTATGGTTTATCTTAACATGCAAGTGAGCCCTATTCTTGTGCATACTTACTCAGAAGTATTTGATGGATGTGTAAGGCTGTACAATATTGCAGTTTTATGGGAGTGGGGCAGGGAACAGAATATGCTTCTGTAAATGGCCTTTAAAATAGAAATGTGTATAGCTCACTACCCTGATAGTTAGAAGTGACTGCCTACTTTCAATAAATGAAAGCTTTGGTTGTATCCTGAAAAAAAGCCAGTTAAAGCCAACAGCTGTACTCAGCAATATGGCTTTCAAGTGGTTAAATATTTCATATGAAACATGTCAAGTCTCTGTCTCTAAGGATCTAAGAACTCTCAAGCCAGTTTTGCTCACCCAGAAGATTTCAGGCTTGTTTTCCTTTCACAGCAGTTTCCCAAGAGGAGTTTCAAACCAGTTTGTAATATAGCATAGTAGTATTCTCTTTTAAAATGAAGTAAAATTATATATATAACTAAGTGCACTGAGTCCTCTTTGGATTCTATTCACATACTTAAAAGTATGAAATTAATGAGACCTAATAATACAATTCTTTGCATATTTACTTAGCAGTTAAGTACCACTGTTTTCAAAGGAACTTTCTTCTAAGTAAATACAGACAGGACTGCAACATTTGTTCCAAATACATGTGTTTTGCACTTTCATTGTTCAGTTGCCATGCTGCAATATTGAGTGCTCCTGTTCTTTAGTGCTATGGCCCTGGATCCAATACGTACATTAATTTGCATGTAATTTCTCTCCCCTTTTGTGTTGTTTCGAGTCATTGTGCATACTTAGTTTTGTGTTTCTCCATTGTGTTTGGTCAGTCATTGCCAACTAACTTTATTTTAAATTGTCTAGAAACATATAGCTCATGGCCTGATCCTGCAGCTACCATAGCACCTAAAGCTGCCGTCCCCCGCACCCCTCCCCCTCGTAGTCCAAACCCTTCTCCAGAAAGGCCCAGGTAGGTCTTAATGTTTTTCATCTCTTGATTACCATTCATTGCATAGAATATATATAGATATATATTTAAAATGCATGCCTCTCTCTTGCTTGCAGCTGTAACATAAACCTAATACATTCCAATAATATGTAGGGTTGCAGCTTTGAAGTCATTAACCATTTGAACATGTTAATTATAAATTAATTTTAAATTGGTAATGAGGATGGCTAAAAAAAACTGATGAGTGACAAAAAAGCAATGATCAGAACAGTCCAATTAGCAGCACAAATATATGGCTTTTTTTTTTTTAACTCTCCGTCCTTTGCAAGAACTAGTTGATGTATACATTACACTGGTGTGCTTGTATTGATCACAGTGGAAATGGTTGAAGATGATTCCCTAATACTATAATAAAGACTGCAGCTTTGTTTTCTATTACGTTAGAAGGGGTCAAACAACATTCCTCACACATTCAAAGAATGTGTGAGGGGACTGTGCAGATTACAGTTGGATTAAGTGATTAAAAATAATTGACTAAAAGTGCTGCTGATCAATCAGGCCATCAATGGAGATATATATTCTCTCTCACACATGAGAAATACATGTGTGCATTTGCTAAAAACATAGAAAGTTTGCTTCTTGCTTCAGAAATATTGTTTTACATGCAAATTTAATTGATAAATTGTGGGACTAAGTTAAAATTTCTTAATCACGTTGCAGCCCTATATAAAATTAAATTTAACATCAGTGTTTTCAAGAGATCACTTACAAAGATTATTATTGTTTATCTGACAAATAAGAGTAATGAAATGCTTTTGTTTTTAAATTATTTTAACCCAGAAAAATGTACTAATGTAAAATACAATCCTTTAAAAACATTATTAACCTTTTGTTTTGACTTTTAAAAGAATCACTGTTTCTTCATTTTGCTTTCTGATTATTTTTTAATCTCACCTTTCTTCCTCCCTTTTTTACCTTTTCAAAATCACGCTCACAAACAGCAGCATCTTCTAGCAAATTTATACAATCAGGGCTGAAAGTAAGTCCTGTTGAGTTCAGTAAGACTTATTTCTGAGTAGGCATGTAGGAGAATCAAGTGGTGGTGGAGCTTTTCTTGGACTGTAATCCTTCAGACACAGGTTTCATGCTTGAATGTTCTTCAACATAAAAAAGAGCATCCTTTCCTTCACAAAGAAAATTGTGAGCCAGTATTCAGATACACAGCATCCTGCCTGCTGGGTGAAGTGGTACAGTCCAGAAAAGGCTTCAGAGGTTCATTTTGTTCACATTTTGTTCTTCAAGGTAAGGAAAGAAAGAAAGAAGGGTGAGGAGATGGCCTGATCCTGTGATTTAGTGCCCCACAGATGCATGAGCATAGTTTGCTGAAAAAACTAGCCAGTATGTGCAAGGCTCCTTTCTTCCCATAGTTGATAAGAGGGAGGCACGTGATATTACCTTGAAGACTTAATTCGGTCCACATCTGATTGCAAAATAGGGCTTTACATTTTAAGCTCCTAATGATTCAAGGTATGTTACCAAAAATGGAAAGGAAAGGTGGCAGTTTGCCCACTCCACTATATTTATTTTGCAGCTTCTGTTGCTTATACACAATAACATTTAGGTTATTCCTGTCAGAAATGAGATAAAATGTCTAAGCCATTGTAAACGCTTAAATATTGTATTTATTTTTATTTTCCAGATCCGCTCTGGCCGCAGCTATTCTGTGACAACCCTAACTGGACGGACCATTGCCATCCTCAGCCACGTCAACGATCTCTTTCTGAGAGTGATGCCAGTTACTTGCAAGATCAAGAAAATTATATTGAGCCATATGCCACAGTCACTGAGCTGCGAATGCGGTAGGATATAATGCATGTATTGATGAGAACTGTTGGAAAAGTTGTAATAGAACTTTTATTTCCTCTGGTTAAAGAGTCCAAGATTTTATAGCCCACTTCAGACATAATAAGAAACATGAATGTTCCTGTGTGAGTGTTGGATTCTCACCCTCTCCTCTATCTCTCTGCTTTCCAAAGAAGAAAATAGAAAGCATCTGTTTTCCATTTGTGATTTGTTTAAGCTATGGTTTGAGAACAAGCTAGGATCTGAAACCATAGTTTAAACAAATGAGTTTGTTTACAGTTGGGACATCTTATGGAATTGTGGGTAATTTAAAATCCAGATCAGATGCTTTTGATCTTCAGGACATGAGAAGAAGGGTATGGAAATCACACATACCCAAGACTCATGAAATCATAGAATTGTGGAGTAGGAAGGGACCCGAGGGTTTGGAGACTTGAGAGGGTATGTGACTCATATCCCTTAATGCATTTTCTGCCTGCAGTCACAACTGGAAGAGCAATGGTGATGACAGGAGCATTGGGCAGTCTTTGGAAGTATCAGGCAGTTGTTGTGAGGATGAGGACATGGATACATACCCTTCAGACACAGAAAAGGAACCAGATCCAAACTATCAGGTTATTGATAAAAAATAAACATTAGCAGCGATGCTGGCTATGCTATTCCACACAAAATTAAACAGGTAAGCACTGGAGTGTCTGCTTCTGCCAGCTTTCTGAATACAGTTGTAAAAATAATAAATTCTTTTAATCACATTTGCAAATGTTA